TAACCGGTAAGTAACCTCTAAAGAAAATGAAAAATACTTAAATACCCCTGCATGCTATACCTTTGAAATTGAGTTCAAACATCTACTTTTCCCAGAAACCAGACAAATACAGTAGTAACTGCTATGCTTATGACCCCACAAAAAAAGAACTGCTATGCTTATGCTCAACTGAAAACTTGTTAGAAGCAACGCATCCTATGTCTGTGAGAATTATACCTTTCAGGTCCAGAATCCTTGGGTCTTGTACTTGGGGAAGGGGATGCGGCCGTACTCTATGTTGTTGACGTCATCGATGAGGATCTGAAAGTGGCGGCGCACCTCCTCGGCGGACTTGGTGCCCCCCATGGCGCTGGCCACCTTGTCCCAGAGGTTGGGGGCGCCCTCGCCGTAGTAGGCGAGCGCCTCCTCGAACATCTTGTTCTCCTTCTTGCTCCACTCCGAGTCGGAGCTCGGCGAGGTGCTCCGAGACGATGACCCAGAAGACATCCTTTGGAGGAGGTAAAGCTTCCCTGGGGAGATTCTACTGAGCTAGTGCTAGCTTCTTGTATCTGATGTCTTGGAGAAGGTCTGGTGGTTTGGTTTGGTGTCTCTCTTTGCTGCGGGGGCTGCTATTTATAGGCGCTGGGGGTGTGTCATGTTTCTCTCTGTGGGTTAAAAGGTGGCTGGGGAGAGGACAACAAGGTTCTTGCAGTTTTTTCGAGCTAAGGATCAGACATGGGAAGGAAGCGTGTGGTGTGTGTGATGAAAATTTTAAGTGACAGTCTGTTTGAGTAATTAATGGGTCCGTCCAGATGCACATCAGGGCAGGCATTCCCAATGCATGGTATCTGGGGTTGTATCCAACATTATACACATCATCTAGTTTAGATATTTTATAGCTGTAGAAATCAACTCTCGAATTCGTCGTATCTGAATCTGAATACGTGGTTCAGCTTGGTTTCATGCAGTTTGTTCATGGTTCATGAAAAAACATGTTGATGAGATACTTATACCTGACCACACGCATGCTTCTTGGTTCCAGAAACACTTCTACACACGGCGCCAGCTGTGGCCATTACACAGCATGGATGGATGGATGCTGCGTGCTCTGCTCACATCACCAACGGAAGCATGACGATATCTCAGCTGTGTGTGTGCTGACATGGGTCGGCAGAGAGCTCCTTTTAAGGCATGCACACATCGTCCAATAGGCCGCAAGGTGCCCACAGGAGAACAGAGCTGTCAAGGTGCGCAGCCCAAAAACCTGTGATCTCGATGCTCATTTCCATTAGTTTTCTGAAACCCCTCTGATCGAATGCTACACAAGCATGTCATGCATGCATCCTCATATATAGCCTATCTGAGCTAACCACCATTTCACCTAAAAGTAGTTCTACCATGCCCCAGAAAACTGTGAATTAAAGCATGGATTAAGCATGTCTGAATCTTTTATTACATTATCAGTGATGGAGTATCCTAGGTTTTTGTAACAGCGTTAGAGAAATCGTCTAAAGAAATATTTTTGCATTGTTCAGAAAGGCATCTCGAAATTCAGAGATAGTGTTTTGCTTCTCCATGCATTAGTTTAGGGAGCACCATGACTGATTCTTCCATTTGAGAGAGAGAAGGCGGCAGGGATGTGGGCTAAGAGCCTCCATTCTTTACATGCTGCGCCATCTCCACCACCCGGTCGACGAACAGATTCCAAAGAGACGATGAACACCCTCTGGGTCTGGGGACCGAACGAATATATCTATCTCGATATGTGTATCTTTCCATCTCCAATGGCCTTGGAAAGGAATTGACAGAATGCAATCCTGCTCCTGGCTCCTTGCTCACGGAGTCCTGGGATTTGCATCGGATGCACTGGACCGGGGCAGCGGGCGCAACTTGCTTTGATTCTTGCGGGCGTGTGGACTGGTCCACACCATCTGTCCATCGGAGATCTCTCCCCCTGGAATCATATCTGCTTAAAAGCCATGGGAAAGATGCAGGATTCCCCGTCATATTTCGAACAATCGGAGCAAAGCTTTTCAGGAAGATGCTAGCTCATTTTAAACTAGATTCATTTCATGTATTTCCGCGAGCATTCTCCTTTAGATTTCCGTTCTTCTAAGGGACATGTTTTGTCACTTCGGTACTGTGACGTGTTCATGCACGGGTTAACTCCCAAATAATGGCATCACAGTACGTATGTGTATATACATATATGACATATTCCTATATTATTAAACATGATCATATCTGATATAATCGTTGTTACAATTCAAGTATTGCTGTATAGTATCTGATTAATAAATCATCAAGCAAGCGATGTTGGGATTTCTAGCCGTACAGATGGAGCGAACACGTTTGTTTGGAATGCAACATGTTGCCCCCTGGCGGGCTAGGCTAGTTTGATCACGCAGTGGTGTCTCCCTCGACTGGAAAGGCAGATGGGTAGACAAAAGGTGAAGGGGCATCTCATGCTGTGCAGAATACGTTATCTTGCACACAAGAACTAACTTTCTATCTACATGTATGTGTTTTTATTCTTGGAGAAAATTCATTCATGTGATGTTGAGGCCTGGGAATAGCCAGCCTGAATTTATACCAACGGTCAACTTGCCTCTCCCCATAACTAGATCCTTGGCTAGTACTACAAACATCATCTCTTTCACAAAGTATATTACTCCCTTCGATCCATATTAATTGTACTAAATCAGCGACAATTAATATGATTAGAGGGAGTATAGAGTAAGCAGAGCAAAGTAGGAATGCTTTTGGGCTCTGTCTGAGCCATCGTTAGTTGGTATATGGTATCTTGTTTGCCAGCTGCTTGAATGACTGATCCCTATCTATGGTTGCCAAGTAGCCTGAATTGGATTCCGCCCTGTGGCCGTCACTGCATCATCAGCTGGCCAGATTCCAAATCTTTAAGCCCAAAAGCTCTGGGATCTGGATTCTCTCCCCCGGTCAAGTTGCTGGAGGATATCGGGAATCGGAATCCAGTCCAGGGCGATCTATCTCTCTGGCGGGCGTCACGATGCTGGGGATTCAAAGCGAGCTTTCTTTTCCCCTGAAAAGGAAATGGTGAGCCCGGCTTTCTCCTCTTCACAAGGTACATGTGGTGCCTACTGGAGAGCAAGGACGCCGCGGCAAAGAAAGTGAAGGGCAATGCGAGCTGACAGCTAGGTACGTGTCATCAATGTGTGATGGTGATGCTAGTATGTATTGTTGTATTCAAGCTTTTATTAAATTTAGATGACAATGTGTTCCTGCAAAAATAAATAAATTAGATGACAATGTGGCAGATGCTGCTTAGATTAGTGAAATATTTTGGGCAACCTTGTGACTTGTGTGTCTATGTGCACATTATCGTTGCTAATATGGTTGTATCTTGATGTACATGTCCTGCCTTGTTATCAACAAAATTTAATTTCATCCTGTCCTGATACTTGTAGAGAAGAGGGAAATTTCTGTTGATGGAATTATAAATGAACCCCCGTATGTCCATGTCTGTGCACATTGATCTTATATCATTGTTTCAGCCTTCACTCGATATATACAGCCTGCTGAGCTTGATTATAATACTCGCCACTTCTTTTTGACGGAATCATGATAGTATCTTAGCCAATCTGCAGGACTGTTCTTGATTCTACCGTAATACCAACCTCTATTCGAGGATGCTTAACAGCGAATATTGGTGGGCTCAGATGTAGATTATTCTGGCATCAGGTTCTTCCTGTGGTTCTTGAACAAAGTTTAGTGGCTTCTCTTTTAGGAAGGTAGTGGTGACAAGGATTCTGTGTGCTATCTGAACCCTGTGGAGTCCAAACTGAACATGGTGGCCAGCTAAACCAGATATCGTAGGCGACAAAATGCCACAGGTACGACTTCTTACAAATAACACGAATACATGTTTTTTTCATAAATACATGAATTTACATGACAGTTTACTTGACGACTTAGTTCGAGGGGATAATGAACAACACACAGTTCATGAATGTAGACGAGAATCTACAACAACATAGGGACAGACTTAACCTTGGACATAACGTAACTATATTTTGTACACACAATCGACAATATCACTTCCCTTCCTGTTATTCTAACCAATGCTGGATTGCCTTGCTTCCCCCTAGAACAACAGTCCATCCTTGCTTCTTAGAGATCTAGTTTGTACAACTTTGTTCACTGTCCACTGGAGCTCTTACACTGCTTGGTCCTGAAAAGTTGAGAAAACATTTTCACTGTAAGCTTATCTGAACTCTGAACACAAATGCTCAAATAGAAGAGACTTGCTCTTTCTTTCTTTTATTTTGTTCTATGTAGGCATGAGGTTAGGAAGATGCATCCAAGCTTTTGTTTTGGAAAGTAGGGAAATTGTCTAATTGTGCTAAGGTTAAACACCAATACATTGGGCCAGGGTGGCTGCAATTAAGCAGTTTGGCTCATAGAGTTGATGGTGCCAGTCATCATGCATGCATGGTGATAAGTATTTTCAGCACCTGGGTGCCCCTACACCCTCTATGAACAGTAATTCAAAACAAATTCAAAAAAAATCTGAAACTTTGGTACATCAAATATGATCAAACTTTTGATGATCTTGCAAAGTTTTAATTTTAACTAAAAATAACATCTCATGAGCCCTCACCTAAAAAAACAAAATCACTGTTCAAAGTTTATGTACATTATTTAGCAGTGATTTTGTTTTTTTGGTGAGGGCTCCATGAAGGTTATTTGTTTCTGAAACTTTGCAAGATATCAAATCTTTGATCATGTTTGATCCCTGAAAGTTTCAAATATTTTTTATTTTTCTGAATTTTTTACAAATTTATTGTTCGTGAGGGTGTAGGGGCACCCGGGAGCTGTTGCACCTTTCTCGTTAAGAAAACATCTATTATGCTAACGACACAGTCATGCCTAGCATACTTTTCTCAGGAAGCAGACAAATACAGCAGTAACTGGTACGCTTATGCTCAACTGAAAACTTTGTTAACATCAGAGTATCCTATGTCTGTTGAGAACTATACCTTTTACTAGGTCCAGAATCCTTGGGTCTTGTACTTAGGGAAGGGGATGCGACCGTGCTCGATGTTGTTGACGTCGTCGACGAGGAACTGGAAGTGGCGGCGCACCTCCTCAGTGGACTTGGTGCCCCCCATGGCGCTGGCCACCTTCTCGCAGAGGTTGGGGGCGCCCACACCGTAGTAGGCCAGCGCCTCCTCGAACATCTTGTTCTCCTTCTTGCTCCACTCCGAGTCCGAGCTCGGCGAGTTGCTCCGAGACGACGACCCAGAAGACATCTTCAGGTGAGATGTGATGCTCTACTCGAACTAACGCTGGCTTTCTTGTGTCTGGTGTGCTGGGGTGGGGGGGTCTCCTGGAAGTCCTTTGCTCTTGGAGAAGCTCTGGTGGTTTGGTTTGGTTTGGTGTCTTCCTTTGCTGCGGGGGCTGGTATTTATAGGCCCTGGGGGTGTCGTGTCTCTCTCTGTGGGTTAAAAGGTGGCTGAGGAGAGGATAACATGGTTGGTTCTCGCAGGTTTTCTGAGCTAGCTAGGGACATAGAAAGCCTGTGTAATTAAGCATTTTTGGGCCCAGATGTGCATGAGGGCATTCCTAAGACGTCTGGAGTCATATCCAACATTACACACATCTTCTAGATATCATAGCTGTAGAAACTGGATGCATCGGCCCTCTCAGGCCATTGCCTCCAGCTAAGTAAAAATTACCAGCTAGCTAGTCTTTGCTCCAAGCAGAAACCTGTGAAGCCTTTGGTGCTTTGCACGATGGCAGCTTTGATGCAAGCAATTTTCAGCGTCGAATTTTCTGTTCCATAACTAAATCCCTTGTGAAAATCATGTGTCGATGGCTGTATTTCCTTTTTGGTATTCAGTTTTGAAATACCTGACCATGTCTACTTGCTACGTGGTTCCAAATTTGACATTTTGACACAGAGTGCTAGCTGCTGTAGCAATTAAGCAGCGTGGATCGATGCATGCCGCCTGCACCAACGGAAGCATCTCATCTCTGGATGCATGGTGACGTCTCGGCCGTGTGTGATCCTGACATGGGTCGACAGAGAGCTCTTCGTAAGCCGTGCGTATCAGCCAATAGGCCGCAAGGCGCCACGAGAGGAAGGGGTACGTGCTACTGCTATTCCTATCCAGAAGAGAGATGCACAGGTGCGCACACCCAAAAACCTCTGATCTTGGTGCTCATTTCCATCATTTTTCTGAAACCCCTGTAATCCAATGCTAAGTACCAAGTGTGCACCCTCATAGCCTATCCGACTTAATTACCAATTCATCTAAAAAGATAATACTGCCTCCGTCCCATAATATAAGAGCGTTTTTTACACTAGTGTAGTGTAAAAAACGCTCTTATATTATGGGACAGAGGGAGTACTATACATATCTCAGGAGACTGCGGTTTTGCATCTCCTCTCTGAAGATTGTAATATTTCCTCATGTTCAATCGCAAAAGTCATGTTCAATCACAAAACAGAAAGACATCCAAAGCACGAAGCATAGTGCAATTGTCTCAATTATTTTTTTGCATGCCTCTGAATCTTCCAGTCCGTCTCGATGATACAGAAGTCCGGGGGGTTGCCCTGGCTCAAAAACGATTTTTTCTTGTCCATGCATTAGTTTAGGGATGTGGGCTAAGAATCTCCATTCTTTACATGTCGCGTGATCTCCACCACCCGGTCGACAAACAGATCCCAAAGAGACGATGAACACCCTCAGGCTCTGGGGACCGAAGGAATATATATCTATCTTTCCATCTCCCATGGCCTTGGAAAGCGAATTGACAGAATGCCATCCTGCTGCTGTATGCTCATCGAGTCCTGGGGTTTGCATTGGATTCCCTGAACCGGGGGGCGGCAGGCGCAACTTGCGTTTGATTCTTGGGGCGTGTTCACCGGTCCATCCATACACCGGAGATCTCTCCCCCGGAATCATATCTGCGTAAAAGCCATAGCAAAGATGCAGGATTCCCCGTTATATTTTGAACAATCGGAGCAAAGCATTTCAAGAAGATTCTAGCTCATGTAAACTAGACTCCCTTCATGTATTTCTGGGAGCATTTTCCTTTAGATTTCTGTTCTCGTACGGGACAGATTTTGTCAGTTCAGTATCGTGACACGTTCATGCACGGGTTAACTTCCAAATAACGGCATCACAGTACGTATGCATATATTAGTGGCATAGCTTGCGGGGGATTACTGAGGGGGAAAATAGCCATATATAATTTTCTGAAGAGGCCAAATACTCTATTTCTCCTAATTTGCCCATCCTAAGCAGTGTTTCTTCACAAAATATCAATGGGCTGGGGGCCATGGCCCCTGCATCACAACACATAGCTCCGCCAGTGTACAGAGACAACATATTCCTATATTTTTAAACATGGTAGTATCTGATATAACCAGTGTTACAATTTGAGTATTGCTGTAGTATTTGATTAATAAACCATCAAGCAATAAATGTAGGGATTTCTAGTCGTACGGATGGAGCCAACACGTTTGTTTGGAACGTGTGTGTTGCTCCCTGGCGGGCGAGGCTAGTTTGACCACACCGTGTTGTCTCCCTCGATTGAAAAGGCATATATAGGCAGATAAAAGGAGAGGGGGCATCTCATGCTGTGCAAAATACATTATCTTGCGCACAAGAACAAACTTTCTATCTACATGTATATGTTTTTATTCTTGGAGAAAATTCATTCATGTGATGTTGAAGCTTGGGAATAGCCAGCTTGCCTCTCTCCATAAGTAGATCCTTGGACCTTGGCTAGTACAACAAACATCATCTCTTTCACAAAGTATTATTATTAAAGTAAGCAGAGCAAAGTGGGAATGCATTTGGGCTCTGTCTGGGCCATCGTTAGTTGGTACTCCCTCTGTCCTATAAAAACATTTTTGACACTACACTAGTGTAAAAAAGTGTTCTTATATTATGGGACGGAGGGAGTATATGGTATCTTGTTTGCCAGATTCTTGAATGCCGGGCTTTGTTAGCTTTTTGGATCTGATTTTCCTTATAAACTGATCATCTCTCTTCTTCTTAGTGAAATGCAGGAACCCCCTGCCCTCACATGAGGTTCTTCAAAAAAGATGCTTGAATGACTGATCCCTATCTATCATTGCAAGTAGCCTGGATTGGATTCCGCCCTGTAGCCTCCACTGCATCATCGGCTGGCCAGATTTCAAATCATTGAGCCCAAAAGCTCTGGGATCCGGATTCTCTTCCCCGGTCAAGTTGCTGAAGAAGATTGGGAATCAGAATCCAGTCCAGGGCGATCTATCTCTCTGGTGGGCGTCACAATGCTGGGGATTCAGAGCGAGCTTTCTTTTCCTCTGAAAAGGAAATGGTGACCACCCGGCTTTCTCCTCCTCACAAGGTACATGTGGCGCCTCCTGGAGATCAAGCGTGCCGCTTCAAAGAAGGTGAAGGACAATGCGAGCTCATATCTAGGTATGTGTTTAATAATGTGTGATAGTGATGCTAGTATGTATTGTTGTATTCAAGCTGTTAAATTTAGATGACAATGTGGCAGATGCTGCCTAGATTAATTTAGTATTTGGGTTGCTAATATGATTGTATCTTGATGTACTTGTCCTGCCTTGTTATCAATAAAATTTAGTTTCATCATGTCCTGAACTCCTAATACTTGTAGAGAAAGAGGGAAATTTCTTTGAATGGAAGTATATGGAATCGCTCTATGTCCATGTCTTTGCACCATGATCTTCTATCATTGTTCAGCCTTGACTGATATACACAGCCTTTTTTGACAGAATCATGGTCGTATCTTAGCCAATCTGCAGGACTGTTCTTGATTCTGCCGGAATACCAACCTCGATTCAATGATGCTTAACAGAGAATATTGGTGGGCTCAGATGTAGATTATTCTGGCATTAGGTTCTTCCTGTGGTTCTTGAACAAAGTGACTTCTCTTGTACGAAGGTAGTGGTGACAAGGATTCTGTGTGCTCTCTAAACATGTGGAGTCCAAATTGAACATGGTGGCCAGCTAAACCAGATATTGGAGGCAACAAAATGCGACAGGTACGACTTCTTACAAATAACACATATACATGAGTTTACATGACAGTTTACATATAATGAACACAGTTCATGAATGTAGACGAGAATCTACAACGGCATTGACACAGACTTAACCTTGGACATGACCTAATAATACTTTGTACACACAAATAGACAATGCTCGACTTTCCTTCCTGTTGTTCTACCAATGCTGGATTCCCTTACTTTCTTCTAGAACAACAGTCCATTCTTGCTTCTTAGAGATCTACTTTGTACATCTTTGCTCACTGTCCACTGGAGCTTACACTGCTTCATCCTGAAAAGTTGAGAAAAACACTTGCACTGTAAGCTTATCTGAACTCTGAACACAGATATACAGATACTCAAATAAAAGAGACTTTTTATTTCTTTCTTTCTTTTGTTTTGTTCTATGTAGGCATGAGGTTAGGCGAATGGGCCGGGTGTGTAGATAGTGTGGATCTGCACAAAATATACCACAAATCTACAAAAAAAAAAGTAGCCTAGTAAGACTGTAAGATCCATCTAAGCTTTTGTTTTGGAAGCAGGGAAATTGTCTGATTGTGCTAAGATTAAACCACTGATAAATTGGGCCAGGGTGGCTGCAGTTAAGTAATTTGGCTCATAGAGAGTTAATGGTGCCAGTCGTAAATAACCTCCTGCGTGCTGTGCCTTTGACACTGAAAACTTGTTAACACCAGACCATCCTATGTCTGTACAGTTTTTAGTTGAGAGTTATACCTTTTAGGTCCAGAAGCCCTGGGTCTTGTACTTGGGGAAGGGGATGCGGCCGTGCTCGATGCTGTTGACGTCGTCGACGAGGATCTGGAAGTGGCGGCGCGCCTCCTCAGCGGACTTGGTGCCCCCCATGGCGCTGGCCACCTTATCCCAGAGGTTGGGAGCGCCCTCGCCGTAGTAGGCGAGCGCCTCCTCGAACATCTTGTTCTCCTTCTTGCTCCACTCTGAGTCCGAGCTCGGGGAGGTGCTCCGCGACGATGACCCGGAAGACATCTTCAGGTGAGATGTGGTGTTCTACTCCAACTAAAGCTAGCTTTCGTGTGCCTGGTATGCTGGGGTGTGGGCTCCTGGAAGTTGTTTGCTCTTGGGGAGGCTCTGGTGGTTTGGTTGGTGTCTCGCTTGCTGTGAGGGCTGCTATTTATAGGCCATGGGGGT